ATGACCATATTTCCAAAGAAAATTCTGAATATATTTGTTATCAGATAGTATTCAGCAAGTCTATAGCTTTGTTTATAATCTCTACCTACATTTTTACTTTTGACTAAATTATGCCAAAAATGAATTCCAGTTTTTTATTAGTTAATCAGAAACGATTTGCGTTTTATTCCGTTCAACATTATGTTACAAATGGAAACCATATGTTCATGTGAAATGCAATGTTCGACGACGCTCTGCACTATCTTCTGAACAATATCAAAACGAGTACATAATTCGGCGAAACCGGATGAAATTTGGTGATCGGTATTTGGACTCCGCGCAATAATATAATTCTCTTCGATTATCAAGTACAGTAGTGGAAAACTGATCTGAAATACAATATATATGTGTATTAGATTCGGGTTAATATTCGTACTTTTGGGATGTACACTCCCCTAGTATGTGACCACTAAATGCTACACCAGCATAATCCTCTAAAGGCAAGACTTTTGGAGCTCGTCCTCTTGGATACACTCATGCATATTACGCACCGCATCCACAATCTTTCTATATCCGATTCGAACATGCAGTCGAAGCTTTGAACGTCGCATGTGGAAAAACCGAAGATGATAATTCCCTTACCAAATCCTCGCCAAAGGGTCGTCCGGTGAAGGTACATTTGGCAGTGGAGATTGCTGGGCCTAGCCCCGCCCCCACGCAACCCGCTCGGATTCATGTATTTCCTTTTTGCGAGTCACGCGGTTGGAGATTTGCCGATTGAAGTGCACCATGGTCGACATAATAATCATCGTCAAGTGAAATATGTCACTGGATAGGAATAGAAATAGACGGATCTAAATAAAGAAGGCCCGGGCTGAAGGGAAGAACTTCGCAGGACCCAATCGCTCATAGGCTGCTGCATCCATGACTGTTGTCAAGCTCTGAACTGCGAACGCAAGGCTCTTGTCTCTCTCGGATCAATCTTTGGACCTCTGAGGAGATCCTCAGAGGATCCAACACAAACAAAAGTCGCCTTTTGTTTGTATCTTGGGCCCGAATGCGTAGCTTGTGAGTGGTGCCTAACCAGGGCCCAAAATTAGCGAAGCAGCAGCAGCAGACCTCTTATAAAAGAAGGATGCTTGCCCGTCCCGCTATTCAAGCCGCCACCAGAAGAAGCGAAGGAGGAAGATTTTACAGAACGAACGTGAAGTAAGATTTACGTAGCCCAAAGGACGGGAACCACCGTACGTCGGTCGATGGACCCGAAATAAAAGTATAGTAAGTGAAGTGAAGCAAGACTCCATGACTGTGACTCTGCCAAACGGTCAACATGTCCCCCCCCACACCCCCCCAACCCCAGACGCAGATGACGTTCAATATGCCCTACCAACGAACTGCGACTGCGACTGAGGTATCCGTTCGTCTTCCACAATCGGTCCTTTGATCGTCGTGGGCATCCGCAGTTCCGACTGTACGTGGTAGCATGGAGAGGGAGGGGACGAGGTCGAGGAGTGTGGCCGACTGCTGGAGTGAGTGAGTGACTGACTGACAGCGATCTGATCGGTCGACGCGAGGCGATGCGATTTGTTGGAATGGAATTGAATTGGTTTGTGGTGTTCGTCGGCCAGATCGGACAGAGCACGAGCTTGGCGGTGTGGCGTCGTTCGGTCCAAGGGCACGATCCGCACTCTGGCCGGTGAAGGGGGCGTGTGCTCCAGCTCCAGCTCGCGCGTTTCGGGTGTCCGGATCCGAGCACTAGTCGCAGCCTGCGTCCAGATTAGAGCTGCAGGTTGGCGTTTTCTCCAATCGCTTGCTTGTTTGCTAGTTCGCTCGATCGATTGCTCGATCGCCCGTTTCCTCGCTGCATGCAGCTAATGAGGTCTCGCGGAGCTCCTCGCAAAGGTCAACCTTTGCGAGGTATGAAAGGATTCGACCCGCCCCAGCTCAGTGTCCCGAACTGACCATGAGAGAGGCCGGGCACATCATTGGATTCTTGCCCTGCGAGGAATTTGTGCTCTTCAGTCCTCGGCATCAGGCCTCGAGGGTGCCGACCTGCCCATTTTACTGCCTCGAAGGGTTTCTCGGTTGGCTCGTTAGTTGGACATTGTCGAGCCCGAAACTGCGCTCCGTGTCCAATAGATTTCCGAGTCTAGCCCAGTTCTCGCGGACATAATAATTTCACTTCAATGCAGAATTCGCCCACGTACTTCTCCTCTGAACCTCGTCCTCGTCCTCGTCCACTTGCAGCGGCGGTCGACCCACAGCTTTTGATTCGACCTCCGCTGGCCATCAGGTGGAGGAGGAGGAGGAGGAGGAAGACCACTCCGAAGCAATCAACATCTTTCCATCTGGTCCAAACGGAGATTCGCTTCCCGGACACTTCAACAAGCTCTGTCCCTCTCGCTCGCCCCCTCGCTCCACATGCAGCAATCGCTCGCTCGAGGGCACGTGTACCCGTGGAGGAGCGAAATGCACCCCTCCTCCGAACACACAGACGGGCAACGTAAAATTCTGCCATACTTTAATTCGCACATTAAGTAACTATGCGAGCCACCATGGCGCACGAAGGGCCCCCGCAAAGCTGCAAGTCTCTGTTTTAGATCGGACCATGCTCGAGGAGACTGAAATGCTGCTGCTGCTGCTGCCAGCAGTTGACCATGCACAGTAGTAGTAGTAGACTCTCCGCAGGGTGTCTCGCTGGACTCCTCTCTCCGTCTGAGTAATGTCAGCGTTGTGAGACGCAATCCCTCGCTTTCCATCTGCTCATTCCTTCATTCATTCATCCCCCTTCCTTCTTGCGTAGTCGGTTTCCCTTTTCACCAAAAAAAAAAAAGCCAACGCTAGGAGTCGAAGGGAAGGGAACATTCAAAAGAATAATATAATATATGATAATTATAATTCTTCCCATTCTCGCCCTTCTTCCTTCCTGGAAGCCGAGATTGGGAAAAAAAGAAGGGTTGCATGTTGCATTAATTTTTGTCAACTGTGCCTATTGTACTTCACCATTCACATCCTCTTGCAGTCGTTCGGTACTTCTCTGGCAATTCGGGCGAGGTCATGACAATGGTCGGATCTGTACCGTAAAGCTTTATATGGTTCTTCGACCACCTTGGAAAGATTCTGATAATTCTGTCAAGTGGAACTGTAATCATCGTCAAAGACAAAGAGCAAGTAGAGTGAGTTTTCTAGATATACCAAGGGTATCTTGAACAGCACGACCTCTATTAAATACTGCAAAAGAGTGAGTGGGGGGGGGGGGGGGGGGGGGGGGGGAGCAGGTCTGAATTAGAGTCAACAGGAAGGACGAAATCTTTGGCCGAAGGAGGCCGCGGAGTGTCCAGGATTCGGGCTTCCGTTTCCAAAAATATCATCTCATCGAGCGTTGATTTTGGTGGTCGTATGTCAGCATCGTACTTACCTCGTGAAATGAAAATATCTGCCAAGTTTAGGACTGGGGGGGGGGGGGGGGGGGGGGGGGGTGGGGGGTTTGGTTATGAGACTCCACTTGTTGACCTCCACCGAATTAAGGAGGGGGTTCCATCTCGTGACCTCACTGTGCTTCGATCTCCATATTCGCCCCTTGACACATGACCGACTTGACTGACTATTTGCACCCTTGCAGTTCACTAAACATCGAGAATTGGTTTCTGCGGCTTAATCTTCTCGACTACTTGCAGTTGATCGATGTGGATGAGTGACGGAATGCACCCTACGGGTTAACTATTCCATGCAAAGCCGGCCAGCAGCTTCAGGTGCCAATGTATCCGGCAGCTGCAATGAATTGGCTCCAGTTCACCCATCTCCCAAATCCGGCAACCATAGATATCAAAGCTGAAGAGAGAAGGCCAAAACATGAGCAAGTATAATAGTCACGCAATCGGTACATCTGTAACCACGGTCAGGTTGCAGACATGTCGTGCATGGCTACTGCAGATACAGACAGACCAGGTGCGAAAGCTTTGAAAAGTGTGTGTGACCGGTCGGCGGTCCGGAAGCCGAAAGGTTTTCTATTTTGCTGTTCGGCAGGTCATGTGACTCGGGGTGCGATCTATGAGCAAAGCTGTGGAATCTGTGTTCTCCACAACAATACAGGACGTGCAGGTTGAGTTGCTGAACTCACAACCGTTCTGCTTGCTTTTTGGGAAGGGTACGATGGGTATATGGAAGTACAGGGATGTAAATCGATAAATTGACTTGGAACCATAGTCATAACGAGAGGCTATATGGTTTGGAGGATCGGGAGTCAACTTCGCTTGATGGAGAGACGGACCTGCTTTGACCGCGGTCAATATTCATCTGAGGGATGCAAAGAGGGGTCTGGAAACAGATCCTGAGGATCACTCGCCATGCCGAAGACAGGAAATATGCTTAGACTTCGTGGCGCTCGTCAGTCCTCACGACGGTCCAAATCACAAGCTCTCATCTCAGTTGACCTACTGAACTGCGAGATCCGAGTGATATTCACACGGATGATCTGACGGAAAGAAAACCCACTTCCTATGCCTCCTCTTCCTCGCAATATTTATGACCGGAGTTTACTCTGCGAGTGAAAGTTCATGCACACGTTTCTGACTTCGGAAACTTTACTTCTCATTTGCATGGGCTTCCAACCTTCTGGATGCTGACCAATCAAACCATAGAGCAAGCATTATTCCGGGAACAAGATGAACAATGACCAAATTCGTCAAAAAAAAAGTGAGCCAAAATCAATAAGGACACACTTGTGAGCGGTTTGGCTCAACTTCAGAAAACCTCGGACCTACTTAGTTCGATCCGACGTCGTAGTTGCTGCAGCCCAGCACTCGATAGCACTCGAGCAGAGCACCGCGCAGCAGCAGAATTGACAACCCAAGTTCCACATTTTCCAACGACTTGCAGACGTATGTAAGGACGGCATACGCACCAATCATCAGCCCCGGTCAATAGAATAGACGAGAAGGCCAAGAGACATAGGAGAGAGGGAGGTGGGGGAACTATTCGATGACAACAAGGGATAAAACATTCCCGAGTTTTCTAGGGGAAGAAATTGGATCCCGGTCAAGCAACAGAGCAGTGGTGGGGCACGGCACGTCACGGTACAGAGTAAATGGTAAAGGGGAAAGGGGAAAGGGAAAAGGGGGCAGCAGCAGCAGCAGAACCATGCATGGAGGAGGGGAGGAGAGGGAGGAGTCATGCCAAGGGCAGGATAAGGTGCGAGAAGCAAACTGTAACCGCTTGGGGCGGTCCCCTGGCAGTGAACAGGGACTGGAAACAGTGGCAACCCAGAGCATGCGGGAGATTCAAAGGCAGCGTTCTCATGTTTCGTGACCTCAGCAGAGTTGACAAGCAATCTCCATCCGAAGATGGACTCGAGGACTCGAGGAGGAGGAGCAGGAGCAGGAGAAGAACGGGGGAATAGTGGACTCTGAAAGAAAGTGCACGAGCTGCGCTGAGCTGTTCTCTACTCTATTCTATGCCTTGCTTGCAGCCAAAATCCAGGGGCCTGGAACGGAAAAGCGCTGCGCCTCAATCAGCCGAGGGGAAAAGGAAAGTGTGCACGAGGTGAAGTGTGCGAGCAGACTTGGTGCCCGGCGGGGGTGAAAGATCTCCCGCTGCAGCTTCACACATCACCCGACCTGATTTCCAGGGCCCTCCGGCAAAAGAGTGTTTAAGAAGCAGCGATGGCCCAGAGCATGATGGCTGAGCAGACGACGAAAAACAACAGCAGCCGCACTGGGAGAGCGAGAGCGAGAGGAAGAGGAGGACAGGAGTTGGAGGAGAGGCGGGGGCAAGAGCAAGAGCAGGAAGAGTGGCACCATTGTTTCCCCCATTGCAAGCGTACGGAAAGGAACGAGAGAGTATCCTGTAGCGTTACGGCACCTGAGGGAGAATCGGGATGTCGGCCGATCGATTCGATTTGTGTGCATAAGGCGCTGCGTCGCATCTGGAACCTGTGTACAGAGTCGGAGACAATTTGTGAATTCCCCCAGGATTTAGCGACCTGATAGAAATTTGAAGTCTTGGAGCCCTGTAGTGGTGGACCGGAGTACTAGCAGAATGTTTTCACCTCAGATGACAAGAGAATCTGAAGACGAAAGTCAGCTTGCAGTCGGGAGTTGAAATACATAGTCGAGCTGATACGACCCTTCCACAGCTGCCGATAGCTAGTTCCACCCTTCCCATCGATCGAAAAGACAGACAGACAAGACTGTCGCCTAAAGACGAGACAATTTCTCGTGCTCCTCCAACTCCGACTATAGCTACCGGTAAGCGTCTGATCCTTCTCGTCCTTTCTTTCCGCAGCTGTATCTTTATCGTTCTAAGGTGTCACGGGCAATTAGCCTTCTGGCAATTGCCTGTGACTCCTCCACGCACAGTTTCAGCAATTTTGCGGTCAGCAAAATTTGTTTCAAGTCCTCGGGCGTGGCCGAGAGCAGACCTACCACATTTCTCCATGTACCATCAAAAACTTTTCTGAATTATGCTCATGTCTCATCGGAACGTGAAAGAAATTCTGGCTCCGTGGTCAGAGTTGTTGTCATGGTCGGTCGCTTGCTCGTATCAAAAAAGGGTCCTCTTCTGATCCGATTCAAGCCCTTCCTCGTGACGAGTTCACGGGTAGAAATTTGATGAGCTGCACTGCACTCTGACTGCACATGCACGACCATGTCTCGCCCGGGAATTACTAACTCCTCCCCTCTAGACCACAACAAGTCGTTCTCGAGCTTGAACCACCCCCTCAGTCGGTCTGATTCTGGTCAGAAACTCGTACAAATCCTTCGTTTCCATCGCTCCTCCTGTCACCAGCATTTATTCCTCCCCGACCTGCTGAAACTTTTAGACGACGCCTGTCAAGCTCGGTAGATAAATTTCCTATCGTCGGTGCACTGGGTACGGCTGTCGCCATGTCTGATTCGCCTGAAAGAAACGCCTCAGCTAAACCGCTCCTGGCGCCTGATGCCAGGCCAAAATCCGCGGTCGGGGAGTTCATCAAGTCGTTCAGGTAATTAATTGTTTGTTTCTTCGAGGCGCCCCAATGTCGGCATGGGCATAATTCGGCAAGCTCCGACAGCTGAAATCGCGTCGAGCTGCGCATGTGCTGTTTTCTCCGTTCTGCCTTTGTGAACAGCCGAATCGAATCGCTCGGGCCTACTTGATGTTGCGCTGAAAGTGAATGAGACATGAGACGGACTTTACAATCAACATTCCAGTTCCGAGGGATAATTGAATCGAATTGACACTCGTCGTGTCGATTTCGGCGGGCTGGATTGTATTTGCACCACTTAACCAACTTCATTTTCTTGATTTCGGTGACTGCGACCTGCTCGAGCCCTCTCGTGGATGGCTTCACGAATGGTCGTCAAACCCGTCCGTCGGAACATGCACGCGCCAGCTGCTGCGGGTGCGAATGTCGAGACCGATTGTGATTTTTCGAGAGAAATCGGACGAAACGAAAATCGTAATTCGGTCGAGGGGCCGCGACGGGGAAGCAAAAGGTTCGAAAGGAGGCGCTTTTCTGCGTCGGTAAAAGCGGCAGAAGATGTGAGCTTATGCGCTCGTGGCGTGCATGCAGAAGCGGGAGGCAGATGGAGGGCGGGCGGGCGAGGGCGACGTCGCCGGGCGAGCAGGAGAGGCTGGGGCGGAGGCACACGCTGAGGGGATTCCTGCCGGGGGCGGAGGAGCACGAGAAGATCGAAGCCGAGCGATCGCTGGGGCCAGGAATCCACTTCTACCCATCGACGAGCGTGGCGAAGATCGGCGACTTCAAGGACGAGGAGGACTGCATTCAGGAGGCGAATCGGTTCCAGCCCAGCGGCCTGGATCCGACGGTGATCTTCAAGAAGGTGGACGAGAACGACGCCAAGCTCGCGCCCGAGCAGAACATCACGCTCTTCGCCCTGCGCCTGGCCATGATCGAGAAGGCGGCCAGCGGCATCGGCACGCTGTCCTTCATCTGGGCCAGCACCATCATCCTCGGCGGCTTCGCCTCCAACATCAATCCGTCCGATTTCCTCGTGGTCACCATCATCCTCATCACCGAGGGCACTCGCATCTTCACCCGCAGCCGCGAGCTCGAATGGCAGCACGTCACGTCCAAATCCACCGACACGCTCAAATTCCACAAGCCCGATAAGCCCGACAAGCCCGACCGGCGCACGCTGTCGCGCCAGGACCGCCTCCCCAAGGACGACGTCCGCTGGCAGGACGGGCTCCCGGCGCGAGAACGAGCTGCCGCCGCGGCCGCTGCCAATGCCGTCGCGCTCCCGCACCCCGACGTCGCGCCCCCCACGCCCCGACGAGAAGGCTCGACGGCCTCCGAGACTGCGCCGTCGTCGGGTTACTGTCTGCCGGCGATATCGGTGTGCGTGGAGAAGCCCGGCGAGAAGCGGACGGTGGCGCCGCTGGAGCGCGAGGCCGACGAGGACGAGGCGTTCCCGAAGGCGCCAAAGGGCGCGAGCCCGGAGAATCCCGAGCGCGAGAAGATCCAGAGGCTGCGGCTCGGGTCGCTTAGCGCCAAGAGCATCAAGAGGACATGGACGGCGCAAGTGGTGCCGATGATCCCTTGCGGCTTCCACTCGATTCTGACCACTCGCGGCGTGAGCAGCCTGCTCTACTGGACGCAGCTCGCGTCGGCGCTCATCTGCCTGATCTTGTCGGGCTGGCGCATGGCCAGCCAGGACTTCAACCCCGAGGGGACGCCGCCCGACGAGACGCCCGTGAATCTGTTCTGGTCAGTGAACATCTTCTACGCGCTGGCGCTGACGGAGGCGGCGCTGTTTCTGCTGGAGCGCGCGTACTGGGAGTGGAAGATCTCGGTGCAGAAGCTGCTGGTGGACGTGAATGATCGGTGCGATCTGGGCGAGGACAATCGCGAGCTGACCAAGCAATTCTTCTACGAGGTGTACAAGAAGTGCGTCGAGGGCAGCGTGTTCGACGGGCTGGACATGGATCTGGTCGAGTACAGCCTGACGCTGCTCAAGAGCGACAACACGTACGAGCAGCTGGGCGGCGCCAGGGTGCTGCGCAAGATCGTCGACCGCTACGACGGGTTCGCGGCCGACGCGCTGCGCCGCATCGGCACGACCTCGGGGATCATCGAGCGCCTGGTGGAGATGCTGTCGTGGCGTGGCCCCAATCAGGAGGAGATGCGCAAGGAGGTGGCCGGGCTCATCTGCCGCGTCGCGCGCTACAGCAAGAACTGCTTCCGCATCGCGGCCGTGCCCGGGTCCATGGAGGGCATCGTGGCGCTGCTCAAGTGCCCCGGCGAGTCGGGCGATGGCGCCGGCGCCAGCCAGACGCTGGCGCTGCGGCTGGACGGGCTGCGCATTCTGGTGGCGCTGACGCGCGACAGCGTGAACCTGCTGAAGATCGGCGAGACGCGCGGGCTGGTGCCGATCCTGGTGTCATTCATGGCCGTGCGCGACCGGCTGCGGTTCAAGAAGATGGACGGCATCGAGCTGAAGATCTTCAAGAAGGTGATGCGCCTGCTGGCGCTGCTGGCCGCCGCGCGCAATGTGTCGGGCAACATCCTGCGCACGGTGGTGGCGCGCGTGGTGTCGAGCATTGCCAACCTGCGCGACATCCTCGAGGACGGCGACTCGCACCCGCAGCTGCAGTGGATGGCCATCGAGATTCTGACCAATCTGGCCCTGGACGACTCTATTCGACGAGCTATTGGCAGCACTGGTGGTGTCATCCGCATTCTGTTCCACATCCACACGCGCCATTTGAACTACATGCGGTCCGGCGAGGTGTTCGCCTCCGAGGAGCAGCTGCGCGTGGAGATGGCCGTGTCCAAGCGCGCTGGGGACGCGCTCAACCTGCTGGCCATTCAGAACTCGAAGAACTCGCTGCGCATGCTGGACCTCAAGGACAGCACCGGCGGCCGGCCTTTCATCCCGGCTCTGATCGAGCTGCTCAACGAGCATCGCGAGCATACGATCTGCGCAGCCAAGATCCTTCGCAGCCTCATGGAGTACGGTAGCGAGGCGGAGAAGCGCGAGATCGCTGTCTGCAGTCGCAGGATCATGAAGCTCGTCATGGAGAGTCGATCCCACAAGATGCAGGAAGCCGTGGTGGGCTTGGCCCCGCGAGTCGTCGCCGTGCTGGACGACGAGGCTTACGACGAGATATTTTCCGCCATCGATCGACCCCGACTCGTGCAGCAGTTACTGGCGAATCTCGAGCACAACTGTCAAGCCTCCAGCAAATTTCCTAGAATCCGCCGTCATAGCATCGAGTTCATCGTGGTCCTGGTGAAAAGAGATACCTACTTTTTGGAGAAATTCAGAGAAAATCGGGTCGAGCACAAACTGGAGCAGTCCATGGAAACTATCAGTGAGGTGGAAAACTTCGTTCTGTTTTCGGGAGCAGAAGGTCTCACGCGTCATTCCATCACCATGGAAGATCTCATTCAAAGGTCCCTCTCACAGATCAAAAGACAGAATCAGCAACAAGGTCATCACGAAAGCTTCCACTTGAACACGGCACAACGCCCTTGAGCACCAGGAAATTCCTCTATCCACACAATCCTTACTCCCATAGAGTCAGTCATTCGTTCGTTGTTGTGAAATTACAGCTTTCCAGTCCGAAACCCGTGGTTTCCGATCATAGAGCTTCAGCAATCCGTATCTCACGCCGGCCGATGAATTTCTTCAGCGACCCTCCGGACAGAGCCAAAGAAACCCGGCAAACGAGCACAACTTGTAGACAATTTTGGAAACAACTCAACACAGACTCCCCCCATACAACTGCTGAAAAACGTGGTCATCTACAACCGCACAGAATGATAGGATCTGCCAATTAGTGCAAAGGATGACAAGCTCAAATCAGGGAGCGAAGAAACAACTATCACGACGACGACGACGTTGACGGAGTTCATCAATGAAGGTGTACTAGACAGACACGCAGCCAGCGCAAGTTGGCTGTCTATCCAATGTACAAGGTTCAAGTAGGTGATTGATAACATGGGCAGAGGAGGATTCACAAGCCAAAGTAGGGTAGACAAAAGCCGGCCTCCAACTCTCACTCACACACGCACTCATCCATTCATTCATTCATTGTCTCCTCCAAGTCGAGGGATTAGCTTAGTCACGTCATTATTTCTTTAGTCACGTTGCCCGCTTTCTTCATTCGGGATGCGACCAAGGGCATGCTTCTTTTGTGTGGAAGATCCCCTGAGCCAGCCAGGCCCCCAGAGGCCCGCGAGCTCAAAGCACGGACATCGTTTCGGGTCTCGGGTCAATGTTCTGTCCGCCTTCCAGCCACTCGGAAGCTCGGCCGCCTAATGTGGCTTTTGGTCGATAAACATTAACCTCTCTCTCTAATCACACGAGAAAACGGCTCTTAAGTCTCCACTAATTGCCATTAGATATGCACGGGAGTCAGTATTTAAAACCCGCCCTGCCACGAAAACAGCTCACTTCGTGACGACCAGTGGATCGTCTCCACGGCGGATGGAGTAATTCCGTTGCCTCCCTCGGTCAGAACTCAGGCCACTGCTGACAATGACAGAAGAAGCAACGAGGATGCAGGATCCCCGCGGAGCATTATCTTTTGCACCTCGAGTTCTCCAGCGCAGTCCATCGCTGCTTACATACAATCCAGGCTCTTTAGATTTTAGCTGCTCCCGCTTGTCGTACGGACGGCATCGCTCGACAAAGCTCTGCATACCCTGTATTTAGCCAGACCGGGTGGTACGCCACCCCGGCATACCTCGTACTTATTTTTGTATGTATGGCAGCCGGCGCCGACGTTTCAGTCTTTGAGTAAACGGTCCTTTTCTTGCCATGATTCTCTTTTCAAACTGTTGTCGTCGCACGGGTGGAGTTGAACGTTTCGTACGTTCGCTCGTGGAGTCACCGCGGTGATATCCGGTGTCTGGTTTCCGGTATCTAGTACCCGGTTTCCAGTATCTTCTATCTGGCTTACGAGGGCTTCGAAAGTCGTGCTCCGGATTTTCGCATCCGCGAGAACGAAGGTTCGGCCTCCGGCAGCGGCGCCACTCTGGCGCCGATTCGACGACTTGTCTGCACGACTGTGCGCTCACCTACTCAGCAAAGCCCCGCCTCGAAGCTGTATACGTTACAGCTAAGATGGAAGATGACGCGTCCGATCGAGAGCAGATTCATTAGGGCGGCTCGTGGACCGCCACGCCAAAGAGTATCGACATTAGCTCGTCCTTCAGGTCGTGCCGAGAAGAGGGCAAAAGCTGGTGAATAGGTGTTAAGTTGCGGGTGGGGGAGGGAAGCATGGTGGATGAGAGAGAAGGGAAGGAAAGAGAAGACACGTACGACATGGCATGGACGGGACTGAGATCATAAAAAATCGGCCAGATTTCATTGCATCAGGTCGCAAAGTCGGTTGCAGAAAGACTGACCGAAGTGGTTATACATCGATGACATGACAAACTTTCCCTGCACCTGTTGCCCAAAATGAAAGACATACGTCCTTCTGGTCGCTCTATTAACATTTTTTTCTGCAAAGGTTTGCTTGATAATAGCTCGTACAATATTTGTGGAAGGACTACAAATGACGTATAATGCAGCGAGTAGCCGGCTTCCCGTTGAGGTCGGTCTGATCTCACTCACTTCTTGCTTGGCAGACAGTGTATTCAACATTATCGGGAAAGGGAACTCTGAACTGAACTCTCCTAATCTATACTGCAGATACTGTTGAGTTAAATGAAATGGAACTATAAACTTACAATAAATCCTCCGTCACGCGCCCTAGAGTAATTGTTGAACTGCATTGCAATGAAGCTTTGGATACTGTACAAGGTTTACATGGGTAGTGTTGGTATGTTCGACCCGCCAATCCTGAAGCAGAGAACCCCAACCCACCCTCCTCTCTCTTCCTACTGTTGTTCTCTATGGTAACAACGGATACTGGAGGGCTCTTTCGTCAGTTTAACCTAGGGCGCACATAACAATCCTCCAGTTCTGCATTCGTAAACGCTTACAAACATCCTCCCTCGTTCGGCACCTCCCACACCGTGTTTCCCCCCTCTGAAAAAAAATAGTGATTTCAGCTTTCTACAATCTACACCTCAACCTACGACACTAATCGCTGTTATCTCTCTCCACTTACTTTGGGATTATCACCGTCAGGGCCTTTATCTCGTCTTCTTCTTCTGACTTATGACTGGTTAGGCTAATCTAGTCACACTCCATCCCCAACAGCAAAACCATCCGGTTGTTTGAAGCACTCGCATCTTGTTATTCCAGGCCTCGTCGGATCCTTATTTACCAGGCTTCTACCCTTTCGTTTTGTTGGTCGATTGTGTTCACCAGCCGTCCCCCCTTGGCCTTCCCCTTGCCGCGTTTCTTGGGAATCACGATCTTGCAGTACTCTTGATGGTACTCTACTCGTGGGGCTTCTGCCACCGGCGCTCTGTCGTGGTATCCATTCAAAAGAGCGCCGCCGTAGTCGTTGTTGTGCCCGTCCTCATCTGGGGCTCCGGGACACGAAGGTGCAGGCTTGGGCTCCAAGACTGCCTCCTCTCGATCCCTCAAAGTCCTCAGAATCAAAGTTTTAAGAAAGTTCATCACTTGGACTGCGTGCATCAGCGCCGTCAGAGGATCCGCCATCTGCGAAAACAATTCACGGGTTAAAACGCACCCGATGAGCGATAACGCCGATTTCAGAAGCTTTCAAGACTAGACAGAAAGCACAACTGCGCAATCGATCGAGCAATTCCAACATTTCGAGGACATTTACCTGCGTCATGTTCGGGGCAAAAACCATAGCAATGTTCCGGGCGTTCATCTTGTTGCTCAACTCCTCCTGAGCGACATCGGCCATCAAATTCACTGCCCAGTCCAGAAGTGCTGCCTGTGTGGGAGGCAGCAGCTTCACAAGCTCTACGCACTGCTCCTCGGCATGACATTGCATCACCTGCTCCGGTGACAGGGAATCAAGGACTCCTCGTGGCAGCTCCCGAAACCATGCCTGCAGGGAAAGCATCCCACCAGAAAGCATAGTCAATACTTCAAGCTCGCAATCATCTGCACACAGTGACATGAAGATTCCGTACGACCAAGTTGCTTCGTCCACGGCACCGTCCCGAAAGACGCTACACTGATTACACTCTCTACACGTTAAATGCTTTGAGGGCTGATGTCAGGCCATGGCGCGCGAACTCCACAAGGACGTACAACATTTTAAACACCCATCCTCTTCGAAATGATCCGACCGTCGTAAGGTCGTGTGACTTAATCCGAGGTCACCACCGTTAACGCGAAATCTGCCTCTGACCTTTGCATTCAAGACGACTACATCCAAAACTCGAATTGAAAAGAAGAGGTTACGAAGTGGTCACGATAAATCAGGCCATTGGTGAGGCTTGAAGAAAGGGCACGAGTATTCGATGCTGTGCTACATGGGCCTTGCTTTGAGAGACTGTTCTATTGGCTTCCTCAATTGCCAGAAGCTACTATCCACCACGCCAGGGAAGCTGGAGCGGCTCTACGGTCAAAGTTCTTTAAAGTACGACAACAGTGGCGACCTCAGTACAGTCCTCTTCGTTCCTGTAGAAAGGAGAGGCTCGTTCACGGCAAGAACCACCTGGAGATAGAAATCTCTGACTAAAAGGCGTAAAGGAGAAGTTGTCGTTCAACGCCATCGCCAGATACGCGGTCACGGGGAAGGTGGACAGAGGTTGCTCAATCCTCCCAGACTCGATGGGAGAAGGAGATTGACTTCGGGGGATTTTAAATACAGGTTACTGACTGGATGTGAGGTGTATCTACTTTCGAAATTGATGTCAGATGAAAGCGCGACCGACCAGTCCGCTCGTGGACGTTGAAAAATTACAAGATTTCAATCGCGAATCCGCGTTGAGCTGGAAGAGGCCGCGGGTTTGCTGTACCTTGATAAGACCGGCAAGACAATGGAGGTCGATATCATTGGGCACGATGCCTTTGTTAAGCTGTTTCCTGGCATGCTCCTCGTGGATGCTTTCGGCGTTGATCCTGAAAATTCCTTCGATCTGCACGTATTTCGGACAAGGTCAGGGGCTAAAGCGTCCGACATCCGTTCTCTGAGCAACATTCCACGTGAAAATCACACCTACCTACACTTTTGGTACAACTGAGGATTGTGGAAACAGGGTACGATGTGTAAAAAATTACTAAGAAAAGGAGGAAAAAGAACTCCCCACATACAGCGACGGCCCGACAGTAATGTAAAGAGCTCTTACGATCCATGACAGTGGATGGAGCTCTGTTGGAAAAGCATGTGCCATAAAGAGCGTTTTGGCAGTACGAACTAGGCTTCAATCGAACTCTCTTCCTCAACAATTTGACCACCTCGACAAAAACGGCGTACCTTCAAGCCCCCTTGACTGTAGAGCCTCTTTTGCATCAGCAGAAGGATAGTCGGAACGCTATTCCCTTTGGGGTCGAAAGAACATTGCATGGATTCCGCGGAGACACCAAAGACACTCACGCTGAACAAAGGCAACGACGAAAGTCAATCACGACGCTAAACAGCTCGAAATCTCTAAAAACGTAGTCCAATCTACCAGCTTCGACCACAACCATTTAAACGTCACGGCTTCGCAACCCCCCTCTGTAACCAGTTCCTCGAACGAATGATGAGACGCGAAATTCTGCCTACAGAACCTGCTGGCCACTTATACAACATACGTCTCAGGAAATTTGCAAGACTGACAGACCACCAAGCTCCTCAGACTACGCATGATGCAAACATCAGAGCGCTCGATGAGGACAAACCTGGCACTAGGAACTCTTCGAGGCACATCCACTTCAAACTCGACAGGCAATCCGAGGAACCCGTTATACCGATCGAAGGTCACATGCGCTACGTGCTGCACGTTCGTCGGCCACCCGATGTCCATGGTGCACTCCTCTTCGACGGTCCGGCAGGTGAGAAGGGATCGACGAAAAGCTGCGAGCATTAGCGCCAGCATCGACAACTGCCGTTGGGCTCTCTCGTGGTCGGTCTCTCGCCGGCGAACGAGTTCCCCATGACCTCCTGCTCGTTGGGTAATCCTGGTTTCTCCATCTCCTCTGTCTTCGGTCATGACGTCGTCCTCGTAGTCGACAGTGGTAAGAGCTGTGCTCGCGCACATTCTTTGATGGCGCGCACTTCCATCAGCCAGAAGCGAGTGTATCAGAGGCGACGAGGGATTCCCCGAAGTGAAGTCAGAATCCGTTTCGTCAGAAGTGTACTGTCCGCCGCAGCTGTATTCGTCCGAGTCGGTGTTCGTATCCGACTGGTAGTGCGCTCGAGGAGGCAGGACTTCAGTCATCTCTTTCTTCACTCTAAAGCGGTCGTCTCCTAGCCCTCCGGGTCCCGGCACGGCTTTTACTAAGAAAGCGTCCCTTTTTCCTGATAAAAAAATTCCATCCACATCAATCCTTCAGTCCTTCCTTCCTCCCGGCTCTGCTTTTTCTAGTCAGTAACGACAATCTACCCATCACACATAACGTGACAACCTCCCCCCGACCCCGCTTACGCCAGCCCGCCAGCCCGCCAGCCCGCCCGCAAGCAAACAAACAGTTTCTTCCGCAACGGTTCTTGGACTGCCTTCCCGATCGATTCCCAAAGAACGCTCGGGCAATTCTGTCTCTAGACTCAAACCGCCGGTCTCACCCCTCGCCCTCGCCCATCCGCATACATCCGTAATACGTATCTACAGAGTCTCTCAGGGGCGCACGAGGAAGAATACGAGAAGCCAAACCAAACAAGAAACCGATGGCTAGTGAAAAGCGACGCTGTGAGAGGCCGAACACGGAAACGGAAACGAGGGCACGAGGTCGACTTGTACACACGCACGTTGAAAACAAGACTGCTCAGAATTCTCACCAGAACTAGAACGAGGCGAACCACCCTGAAACGATGATGGAGGAGGGTGGTCGTCTTTTGACTCACTAGATCATGATAGAACAGAACCTGAAGGACAAATGAGCAGAGGTTCCGGTTAACGAACACTTCACGAACAGAGCTCTCTCACTCGCCACACACACACACACACACTCACACTCACACTCACACAGAACTCGAGATCGAGACGGCGCTCTTGAACTAGAGTCGCATGAGCAGACACTCGCCGCAACCTACCGGGGATGCGGAATATGACACGAGGAATAAAATTCGGGACTTCTTTCCCCGGCATACGGCTACCACCTTCATTTAGAGGAACTCAGAAAGCTGATTCGTGACGAAGGCTGCAGACCTCAGTCAGGCTGTCAGACTGCATGGGTTAAGGAAACCAGGATGTAAGGCTGGTGACCTGTACCGGGCGTCGTGCGCCTGGCCTCCTCTGCAGCACGGGAAGAATCCCCGCAGGTATTGGGAGTCGGATAATTCGTGTTTTGCTCCGACCAGGACAAAATAAACCCCAAATTCCGAAGGCCAAGCTGGAGAGAAGAGTAGAACCAAATTTCGACGCTTCCCTCCGAGGAGACAGACTCAGCCGTGCAATGTACGTCGAGTGAAGGAAACAAACAGAGTAGTTCGGTGATCGACACTTTTCTTTTCACATCTATGTACAGAACTACTGAGTTGCTGGTTACTCAGTTCTGCGTATCGCCCGGAGATATAGACTGCTGTGAATTGAGCGATACCACACGCGCAAACTGGTGAACGAGGATTGTCAAATTCCTCGACGGGCTATCGTTCACAACTCCGAGAGACGTGTGGCGAAGGGGGAGGGTGCAGAAGCGGCACATCGTTGCGGCATATAGCTTCCAACTCTAGGACATACGACAGATTGAAAGGGACAGAATCGACTGTGCAGAATAAGCGAGCTGACAGTCGTTGCGTACTGTGAGGCAACAAGTGTACAACTACTTGCGCACAAAAGGAGCTAAATTAGCACGGAGGAAAGCTTCGTTCTTTCTTTTCTTCCGATGATCTTCAACTCCAATTATTCATCTTCAATCAAAACCTACTGACCAGTTCTTCACATCAACGCGAATCAACCAGGTAAAAGGACACGGAAGGGAGATGGAAAGCTAGGGAGATATTTGGTGGAAGAACGAATGGATGTTGGAGGTCAAACCTGTCTTCGGTAATGCTGAATTTGAACTCCGGTAGTACATAGTTGTCACCCAGAGAATGACGAGTGCCGTCAAGCAGAAACACAAGCCTGCGTACAGCTTTAAGGTGGTATCGAGACCCAGAATCTGAGATGTAACCTTCGTGAAGCCGTAGTGAAAGAAACGAGAAATTGTGGAAGTATAAAGGCGGCCCTGCGCGACAAGGCGCAAGAGAGATGGAGAGAGAGAGACGAATGGAAATGGGAAGGATTGATTGAAGTACAAATAGATTACTGTAAATCCAACCGCCTGTGAACCTGGTCTAATAATCCTCAGATCAGCTGCAATTGACTGTCAACAGAGAAAGTGGGATCATCCCCGTCCCTCCAGATACACATCTAAGGCACTCTCACGCACTCACAACACACTCAGCTCTCTCTCTCTCTCTCTCTCTCTCTCTCTCTCTCTCTCTTCCTCGGAAGAGGAAATCTCATTGACCTCTGTATAAATCTATTCTCTGGCTAGAACTCTCGCTCGTCAGCATTGATGAGGGAAAGAGGGGAACCGTGGACAGAAATTGGAAGGTAAAAGCACTCGTGCGCTTAAGTAGGTACGTGGGCGAGCGAGCGAGACTAAACGCAGTGCGCAGAGGAAACGCTGGAGGTATGATACGCGAGAGGGGATGGACCAACTCCACGGGACAAAGGGAGCAAGCGGCAGTAGGCAGCGGCAGAAACAAGAACGCGCTCAGGCGCTGCGCACAGCTTAATACAGAATCCTCTGGAGTCGGAGTCGCCCCCAAGTCCAAGTCGTCCGTCCCTCATTCAACTCAGATGCGCGAGGATTGGATGATGTTGAACGCAGGAAAAAGGCCCCCCCCCCTCTCCCACCAGCATCACCAGCAGCAGCGACACCACCGCGCGAGAAAAAAGAGAAAAGGCAGCCGAGCAAGCAAGACGCGCCTCTAGCCGCTAGCCTCTACGTACGAGCGACGAGAGCAGCAGCAGCAGCAGCAGCAGAAGCAGCGGCAGCGCAAAGTGGCGCACCGGAAGAACGATCAACAGAAAATCAAACTTCTCGCGATTCCCTTCCTACACCTGCTGCCTGCCTGCCTGCCCCTCTGCCCCTCTGCCCTCTGCCCGTGCCCGACCACCCCATCCTCACTTCTCTTCTCTTCTCTCCTCGCCTTGCCCTCCGCCTTCGCCTGGACAGACAGACAGCCCAGCCCGGCCCAGCCCAGCTCCGTCTTCGGCTCCTCCAGCGCTTCCGTTATTTGCCGGTCCCCACCACTTCCACTCAAAGAGGGGCCCGACCCCACCACCACTCCACTTCACTTCGCTTCGCTTCGCTTCGCTTCGCTTCGCTTCGGAACAACAAATGTCGCCCACCGCAGTCGTGAAGCCACCGGCTCCTATGTAGGAAGCGGAGTCGCGGCTCACGCTGGGCGGGCGAGCGCATGTCGGCCATTCCGGTCGGTCAGTCTGGCAGGCGGTCACTCACTTACCGGCTCACGTCGTTCGTTCTGCTGCTGCTGCATCTCGACGTCGGTCGTCATCTGTCTCTTCTCACTCCCGTGCTCTCGGGCCCACCGGATCGACCAGAGAACTGATCTGTCGCTCGCCTTCTCCCCTCCCGGTCGCCCTCTCGGACTTCCCCTCCCTCGTACCGGAGAGCGAGGCTTGGGCCTGCAGACCCAACGTGGTTGCTCCGTATACGGAAGGGTATGAATTTCCCCACTGTACGTGGTTGTTGACGTCGTCGTCGTCCCGGAAGGCTCGTATTTGTTAGAATGTACATTGTACAGAACCCCGTATCTGGTGTGAGTTCTCTGCCTTCCTGTATGGGCATGGCTGACTCGAATCGGCGTCCGGCATGACTCGGCTGGTGACACGTGGGCGTTGACAGGGAACTTGTCTCCTCTATATTTAGGGGATATTCCACTGAACGTGAAGGCCGGTAACGGAAAGCGTCCCACATATGCCTTCTTCGCCGTCGTTCCAACCGAGATCATGGATCCTGCGGCTATTGCGCGCCCGTATACCAAGGCGCCAGAATTTTGAAAATTCGGTTCACGGAAGGCGAGCTTCTTTACCTTCCACCCGCGGTGAAATGGGCTCCGGGCTCCGGACTTTTCACCTGCCCGATAAACCGCTCCGATTTTTAAATATTGTTTGAATTTCGCGTCTCGCTTATATCTTTCAAAATCTGCGTCATAATCGATCGTGGTGTGATGCTCATCCGACGGCCCTCGCTCCATCTCGATCTTATTCCCACTGCATATCGGCCCCAATTTCTGTGGATTATAGGCTTCAGGTTTTCCTACTCCGGCAGTAAAACCTCTAATTGACTGCAAGGACTTCGGTCCCAGCTCCGTCAGCTTCGACGTTCAGCCGGAACACGGGATTAGCTTGATTATGCCATAACTAAAACCAAGTTCCCGCATTAAGATTAACAAACTCTCAAGATCGAAAAAATGATTTGCTGGAGTCTGGTTCGTACCGGGGGGGAGTTCATTCCTATCCAGACCCCCCTACCCCGCTGAATATGAGGGCTACTTTCAAGATCCATCGGCTCAACGTATCATCAGAAGTCATGTACGCGTCCCTAAAATCAAGGGAAGTTTGAACTGCCTTGTAAATTGCGTGCGATGTATTATGGCTCAGATTCTTTAGGGCTTGGAAAACCATCCGCTTGTTTATGAAAGGCGTAACTCGAGTACACGTTAATACAACATGTATCGCCGTTAATGAGAAACAACTCGTCTTCGAATGGGTCCTTTATTTTTTTCCCTCGAAGACTGCTTGCGAGACCCTCTAGCATCTCGTTGATTATCAAGTTATTTGGTGCGAGTGTGTGTTACTCTAGCAAATATTATTTGGCGCGTGATAATCAATACACCGGGATTCCTCTGGAATTCCATTCCCGGTTGTGATTCCTGAGGCCATCGGCAATCTAGGTTTTGCATTGAGCTTGCGGGAGGTCGCAGTGGGAGGACCATTATTAACATGCAGGAATTTCATTCTACATTCTCGACCATAACTTCGGCGTACTTCGAATTTCAACCTAATGCTGGAATTCAAGAAGCAGAGACGCAGCTTCGATTTATGGAGCCCCGGCAAAGGGGAGTTATATTCCAAATCTTTCTATCAACCGAAATTTAGATACTGATAATCATGCCCTTAATGAGGTCACGCCCAGATACCGGTTTCGCAAGAATCAGCAGCAGATCTTCGGGTCGTGCGGGTTTAACGAATTTCGGAGTTAATCATTCACGCGTTTGACTACCGTGAACACACTTACACTTGAACGTTGGGGTGACATCGAGACACAACTTTCGAGCTTCCAACGTTTTACCAAAGCTTCTTCGTCCTCCTAAGTGTGGAAGGATTAAGCGAGACGGTGGGTGTCAAGTGATCTATCTAAGTGTCAACTATTGACACCCATCCTTCAATGTGTGTCAAGTGGGTGAATTGAAGGATGGGTGTCAATAGTTGCGGCTTGAAGAATCGAATGTATCTGCCAGCTGAGGTTTGGACAAATTTTAGGAGTTCAAGCATGAGCATTTTGTGGTTGATGGAAATTCGGAATTTGCTCACAAGATAATTAGTAGTCACTTGTGGGGGCTTTAACCTGAAATGCGGTCGTGGATACCAATTACGTTGAAGAAGATAGAATCTCTCCTCGAAAACCGTAGCACTGGTTTCAGTAAATGAAGAAATCTTGGCCCCTGCGAGCGTGGAATCTCTTCGTGTCTTGGGGAGGAAAATTAATCTGCTCTTCAAACTCGATCTGTGCGAAAGCAAAATGACGATGACCCCGTTTGCATGACGTTGGTATAATCCTCAACATAAAGGCAACAAGTCGAACACGTCGGACCACCCGTACCTGAAGCACTCCCAGCAACGAGAAACGACAAAGCTTGCATGTTTGCGTCTAATCTCGGCGGTCGTTCAAGTTGTAAGCAGCAAGCAAGATGACCGAACAATGGATCAGGTGAGGTGAAGGTTAGCGCATCGTATCGAAGCATCTTGATTCAAGATGTAAGAGGTTAACGAGGCCGATGACGTCGAGTTGAAATGAACAGTGGTAGTGACTTCAAGAGCGGTACTTTGACATGGGTGGGCTGGAAGAAGAGCCCATGCATGCTAGTCAATAAAGATCGCCGTTTAAGGTCAAGTGCTTGCTTGCTTGCTCGGGGCACAAACCCAACTCAAAGATGGCCCTTCATTTCACGCAACATTCAATGGCCAGTACCAAACCTAATACTCCCGCGAGAAAAACATTCCATCCTTCCTCTCTCTCTCTCTCCATCTCTTACATCCCAGTGAGAGGACAGATCTCGCCTTCCACTCACAGATTTAGAGAATGTTGAATTGTGATTAGATTCTTTGCGCGTTTTCGCTGTGGATATATCGCACTCACTATTACACAAGCATCAATCAAGATGCACTTACGCCATAAACCTGTGACAAGGGCAGTGAATGAAGAGAAGATGAGAAGAAGAAGCCTTGGAAACCTCCAAATGCCCGGCATGCTCCACACTGAGTCCACAGTGTCTCATCCTGTTCAGTCCGATGGTTTGTTTATCCCCTCAGCATTTAAGATTAATCTAATGAGTAATCCTACTGGCCCCGTAATAGTGATCCGCAGCAGCTGTACGTGCCAAAATTGTATGTACTATGTACGCATGAAGGAACTACAGGACGAGGTAGATTTATTATCCAGGTATGTGGCTTCTCACTTTAACTCCCCTGCCAAGCGGTATATATTTGCAGCCCAGGCCTCAGTAAATACAGTCGTAATGCTCTCCGCTTTCATTCTCCAGGCGCGACCAGCGTGCGTGCGCCCGTGACTCGTCGCATAGTCGTTCGCTTCCCGTTTTTGGTGACTCGGGCAATTGTAATCTTCAGCGCTTCACGAAGTCGTAACTCCATATAATCTTGACACATTCCCCTATCGAAAGGAACAGATGGTGAACTGAAAATCCGGTACATCTTGGTTCGCCGTTTGTTGCCTTTTCCACCTTTTTATGCTTTCTTGAATCTTGTTGAACCATTTTTCGCGTTTCTAGGAAACTTAACCCACCCCCATATCATTTTATTGTGGGCACCCGATAAGATTTTAAAAGAAGTCAACGCTTAGCGCATCGAGCTCGTCCGATTCAAAACCGACCCGAATCAACAGTTCGGGTGCGGAACGTACGCCCGAGAGTAGCACTCGCAGATGAAGTTGACTGTAGAGAGCAGCACAAGCGCTGCATAACAACTCCCACCGAAGCTCCACTGTCATCGTTGCAGCACTATCTCGAGAAAGAAACATCACAGAAAGGTGCATGAACAGCGCCTTCGCCCCGGGGCTCAAGGTCCCCGGCGTCAGAGGTTAGTTAGCGTTCGCCCCTCGACGAACAAGGCCTCGAAGAACGCACTTCCCGCAGCGATGGGGGACCATGCCCAAACGACGCCGTTTATCGTTTAGCGACCGCGTGGGCCTGACTGCGGCAGCGCAGTCAGCCTCGCATCAGCCCTCGAGCCTGCTGCTGCGGTCGCGATTCAAATCATGACCCGCAAGAGCGTGCGGACGCCTCTCGAGAGCGTCCTCGGTCGGCTTGCGGCCTCCGACTTTGAATGAAGGTCCATCATTTCTTTGACCTTCTGTAGCTCAGACTCAAGACATACTTAACGGACCGGTCGCGCTCGCGATGGGCGAGCGATTATTCTCGAGACTGCGCCTCACGGAACCGAAAGGCAATCGAGTATGGGCTGGTTTGAAATCGTCTCGCGAAGGCCACAACGCAGTTTGACATGACACCGTCACTATTATCGGACTGTGGTCCATGCACGCACACCTTTGTAATCTTCGTCACGTAAAGGGCTCCCGAATTAGAGGGCACAAAGCTTACTTAAGGCTAAGGCTCGTCTTCGCCCGACATGTGCAGCCCGCTAGGCGTGACAGCTCGGACCATCTTGTATGCTCGAGGATGATGACGAAGATGATGATGATGAGGACGAGCTGCTGCAGCACGAAGCTTGGGATTGGGTCTGGGATTCCGGTTAACCACAGGAACTGTAACCAACAGCGGACCCCTGTTCACCCATGGTTAGAGATGAGACAACGGACGGACAGGTTGACTAGCGCCCGCAATCAGCGAGGCGGAACATCACGCCTGACCGAAGCGGGATGAAGATCCGGCGGCATATGATGGATATTAACTCTCGCAGCGTGGGGGATGTGACCCTAGTTGAACCAACTGTTGCCCCGTCGACCCAGACCCAGAACTGACCCACGGATCGCGTCACGGACGCCCTAGAGAACGTGGTGAACGCAGCGGACCAACTACTGTCATGCAGACATCTTACGTGACCCAACTCCACCTCGCGGATCTACTTTCTCCCTTACTCCGCGGGTTGGGTGGGGTTGGGTCGGTGTGGTTGGATACACGCCCTGCAGGATGAACCTTAGGTTCATGTAACCAGCGACTCTGGACGCCGAGTTGATGACGTACTCTCTAAACTTGGTAGATTGTAGATTAGGCACTTATGATGAACCGCGTAATGTGCCGACCGAAGCTGGGGACGCACTTCGCTTCACCTGTTCATCTCTACTGGACTCTGCAGAGCCTGTTCCCCAGCCACCATCGTAGGTCATGGAGAGTAGCGGATTCGTACTGTATCCCGGTGAGCTGATGTCAGTACACCTTGTACCGTAGCATGTAGAGAGATAGAACGCAAAAGTATCAAGATAACCCAAAAACATGTGAAGCCCCATCGACGTGTAAATGTATGAAACCAAACGTGTACCATGAGACTAGGTGCCTACACAGCCACAATAGTTAGGAAAATTCTTTACACAGAAATAGTTATGTATCCTAGATATCTAAGATATTCCAATAAAAAAATACATATCCTAAAAGAAATCTTCCGAGTTAAGTTTTCTAATTATAAGAATAGAACAAATTACCAAGCATTCTTTAATCGTTATACTTTTTGAGCATTGCTTCTGTTGATGTTCTCTATTCAACCAATTTTTTTATTACTTATTCATCCAACAAAGAGATTGATTGATAATATGTACATTACTATGGTTGGTTATCGTTCAAACATCTTCGAATTCGATGTCCATCACTTTGTATAAATCTAAAACTAGAGAAACAAAGATTCTTCCCATCTAGACTTAGATATGTGGACCATTGCAGCTCCAGCTTCATCCAAGAAGATTTATAATCACTTCTTTCAAAAAAAAAATCTCTCACTACAACATCTACAATCATGAAAACCCAAGTTGACTACAAACCATACCAAGGCTCACATTATGTATACACTTTGTGTGATCCAACCGTTTATGTCAATCTACCGTGCATGAATGTAACCTTGGGTTAATAAGAGAGCAAGTCAAGGTTCATCAAACTAGCATAACACTTCTCATGTTCCTTCGTCTTTTGTCATGCACGAATCAAGGCTACGAATGACACGTAAATCTCAAAACAGATAAGGGTTTATAGAGATATATCTGCTGCAATTTGAAACATAGTAATGGGGTCGTGTACACTCGATGGGATCTTTCCATTTATATGATATTTTTCCATTGCTATATCACAAGGTTTCCTTCTGCTTGTCTTGATCCTGGACAAGGGCTTTTGCTCATTTGACTCGGAATCTACAAAATAGAGAGGGGCATGCCATTCTCAGGAAGTGGTGTGCTAATTATTGTTTCAGGTGACGGATGACTGATCTTCGAATAGTTTCCTTGTTCTCCTTCCCTTTGGACAGGTATTTGGCAGATTTGACAGCTGCGGTATTTTAACTTCCATTGCACGTCAAGTAGGTTTGTACTTGTTCTTCGTGTTCCTTGGCACACATCCTATTTGAGATTTTCAAAGGCATCCACCAATTTGCAGTGCGCGAGGTTGAGATTACATTCATCCAGTAAATATGCTGCAGGTTTAGGGGTATCCAGAACTTGACCGATAGAATTAGACGGAGACGAGATGACGACGTTATATGCAAGCTCATCAAACTAGACTAACCTGAGTTACAGTACTCAGTCGAGAGAATCAGCGTAGTGAGATATTTTCACGGAGACAGGTGCGAGTCATCATTGAAGATCCACATCCTCCCGAAGAGCGGTACAGCTTGTTCCCAGTTCCAACTATCATGGACTCACGACTCCGACTCCGTGCACTGTTTGAGAAAAATATATATCATGCATCTTCCTCATGAATACAGTTTCTCTTGTATTTTCCTTTTGTTGTGAATTGCAGAAATTCTATGCAGAGCCGAGCGTGTTGCTTATAAGGCTGTAACCGCAGCTAGCCAGCCAGCCACAGTCTGTGTGTTTGTTTCAGATCCAAGCGAGGCAGATTAGCATGAGCGGTTTATGTTTCAATTCCTATCCATGAACCTGGAAGTTCCCGTGGACGGAAGATTCTGCTGGTCATCTCGAACTAGGGACGTCGAGGACTCCCTAGTCTCCATCTTCTTTCGCCTGACAATATTCACACCTTAGTAGGGTCATCAATCTGGAGATTCCGATTCATTTGTGCTCATGGAGGCTGGACTGTGGCCGTAGTATCCACGAGATACTGGGCCACATGTCCTACGCTTGCACTGCCTGCCTACAGGAGCAATGCATGCTTTCTCAGTTAAAATACTATTTTCCCCTTCCAAACAAAAGAGAAAACATGCTCGCTCACCGACGTTATGTGTATAGATTCACCTCTGACATGGAGCTCGTTCGAGATAGGTTCATGGACTCATGGAGGATGCAAGGTTGACAACTTGGTGGATTTTGATCCCCTTTGGACACTCTTTCGGTCCCAATAATCAACATTCAATGAGCGCAATCCTCCTACGTTAGCAATATACCAATTTAGGCCAGCTCAAGAGAAGACCAGTGGTGGCTTAGACCTCAGACGAGACAATCAACTTTGGACTCGACATTATCACTCCAAATTTAATACCTTGGTGACTCAGATGGTCGCCATGGGACACCCTAATCAACCCCAAAAACATTGCACTGAACAACTTTGGATCCACACCAATCGAGCTCCAACATTCATGAACCCTTGCTCGACGAGGCCGAGACAAAGATGCTCAGCATTGTTTAGAGAATAACTCTTACTAATAAAACTCCTCATTGAAGCAAATTTAGCCCTCTGAGAATCCGGCTCAACTGCTAGCTGTGTGACCAAGTCCAGTTACGGTAACCGACAGTACTTTTGACAAGCCATTGCATTCCAAGTTGGCAAGCCCGGCGCAGGCAACAGCAGCACAGCTGCCTGAAGCTCGAGGGCCCTGAAGTGGACCATAAAATCGAGTCGGGCAAATAGTGAAATATATGGAGAGGGATGAGAGAGAGAGAGAGAGAGCTATTAAAATCGATGATAAGATATTGGTAACGTTGATCATAATAATGGTCCCACCTACAAGTCTAGTGAATCTTCATTAATGTGGGCTCCCGAAGGCCGGTTAATGTCCATTGTTCATGGGCAGCAGCAGAATGTATAATTGGAGGTCCAATGCTAAGACGATGACGCCGTAATGGGAAAAGTGGTGCGGAGTTAGTGATGTTGGACCCGGAACTAAGCATTTATGTGCCCGAGCTTCCGTGTTAGACTGATTGGCAGCAATTGGCTCACAAATTGGCATCAGTCGGAGGCGGTCACATTGTTGGAATAACAAGGATCATCATCATGGTGCATGTGCAGTGGAAAGCGAAAAACAGAGACGCTGGCCAAAGAAAGGAGGGGGATGGGACAAAGGAAGAATGGTCTTTATGGGGCCATCGGCCCGTCATTATAGAAGAGACAATTAGATGACAAGTCGAGCAATCTTTTGACTTGAAGAAGACGATTAGAGCCTAAATCCGGCTGGTGACACCCATGTCCCAGCTTTGTTGACAATTTATGATATCATCGGCTCGCGCACGAGAGATTAATAAGACTTTCACATGTTCTCCATCCCCTTCCCGTCCACCTTTCGACGTCGTCTCTCCTCCACATCTCAGGGATTCCTCCAATCGCCCCCTTTTATTCTCCCTTTTATCTCTATCTCTCTCAAACACACAATGATTTTCTTCTCGTTACTGCATCCCAGTCCACTTCCAGCCAGTGGCTCACTACGTCTTGCGCAACCGCCATGAACGAAGCACATGGCCGTCGACATAATTGACCTCCCTCGATGACCTTGCGCATTGTTTCTTCCTTCCTTCCTTCCTTCCTTCTTCGCATGTATGAATGGTCGTGAGTGCGTGCAGGCCCTTGTCCTTATTCTGTGCTCGAGCTCGCAATGTTTACTCCTCCTGCTGCTCTCCGTTCGAGCTCTGGCGAAGCTCAATCTATGATCGCCTGCTCGTCCGAGCCGACAGGCGACTCGAGCCTCCATGATGACCGTCCCCGCGAACCAGCTCGACCATTCAGTCATCCGAAGACTGAATCACTGCTTCTGGCTTGGACATGTCCTCCTCCTACTCAGTTCATTATTCCTGACTAATCGGAACTTACGCAGAAATCATATATTCGATCATGTGGATGTCCCTCTCTAACTCATAAT